CCGTGGGTGGGTCGCCGGGTTGGGGTGGGGGTGGGGAATCCGGTGGCCGCTGCGGCTTCCGGTGGGCGGGGGGAAGACGGGTGGTGCGGCGCTGGGTGCGAGGGTCGGGGTAGATCTAGCCGGGCGCCGACCGCAGGGAGGCGCGGATCCGGCCGTCGGGTGGGTCCTGTGGGCGGGATCGGACGGCTGGCGTGAGATAGGGTGAGGGAGCGGGGTGCGCGTGGGGGTTTCGGCGGATGGGGCCCGCGGGGGTGCGTGGTTTCTTGCCAAGGGGGGCGTGGACCTGGCGTGGGGCCCGGGGATGACGTGGCCCGCCGCTCGTCCTCATCGCCACGGCATGGGTCTTTCTTTATCGCGTCACAAATCTCCGATCCATTTCTCACGTACGAATGTATTTAGATATATTTTAAAGGATAGGTTCATTCATTTTGCTCTGTATGTGATTTTATTGGAGTCTCTAAAAAAACTTATATGTATAAACTTGGCTCCCTTTCTCACTGCTACTCCCTCCGTAAACCTGTCAAAAAAATTATGGAAAAACTAACGCCCACACGTGTGGGCGTTTGCAGATCGCCCACACGCCTTCATCCTCACTCATTTTGCCACGTATGAATAGATGACATCAGTAGAAATTTTTTTGGTTTTCGGCTTAAAAATGTTTTATCTCCTAAATAAAAAAGCGAACTAAAAATTCATTTTCATCATTAAATCCGTCTCGACGAGATCTTCAAAATTAGACCCCATGTTGATATGTTTCGACAAATTTTTTTTTGCCCACAAGTTGCCATGATGTTTACACTATAGTTGTCATAGTGCTTAAACTAAAGTTGCCATGTGGCAATTTTAGTTTGTAGATCATGGTAATTTTAGTTTTTTGATTATGGCAATTCTAGTACTTTGACCATGAAAATATTTTTTTATTGAACCATGGCAATTTTAAGTGCATGTATCATGGCAATTTTAGTTTATGATGCATGACAAGTCTAGTTTCTTAATTCTTCATTTTATAATTTCTTAAAATTTACTTTTAAATGTAAAAGAAAATAATTGAAACATATCATGGCAACTTCAGTGTAAATATCAAGGCAATTTATGTGCAATAGACATGGCAACTTTTAACCAAAAAAAAATTCACCGAAATATATCGATATGGGATCCAGTTTTGAAGATATCGTCGCGAGAGATTTAATAGTGAAAACGGATCTTCAATCGGATTTTTCATTTAAGAGATAAAATATTTTGAAAACTGAAAACCCGAAAAGATTCTCGCATGCATGCATGCGATGGCATGACAATCTATTTGCATTAGAGACGTGTGGTGCGTCTCCTTTCATGCCACACGTGTGGCAGTTATCGACGTCCAAAAATTAAACTCGGTTGTTCTTTGAAAGCTATACTAGTACCTCACACTTGTTATAGGTTGCCCCTAATTTTTCTTTTTCATGCAGAGTTGGATGTGTTATAGTAATGCTTATATGATTATTTGCGAAGTTGGACGAGCTTTGCGGGGTTTCATCTTGGGAAAAAAAATATGTATCTATGCGCGCAATATTTCAGAAACGAAGGAAGCATGCCCACACAAAGTGGTTCGACCCATGTCTTTTGATTTGGAAACTGAAGCTTCCGATAAAGCTAAAGGTGTTTCTCATGGCTTTTGATCTCGGATGGA